GTGTGGGGGTGGTTTGACTTTGCCGCAGAGGCCGTCCCTAGCTGTGAACAGCAAAACGGGACAGTATTCTTTTTGGAGACGGAACCGAGTGGACACCAGCGCCTTCAGAGGCTCGCGCGTTGATGAAGCCGCCGCCGCCGCCGCGCCCAGCCACTGCCAGCGCCGTTCTCCCCACCACAACCGACCTTCACCGCGCTCGCTGCGTGTAGGCATGGGCAAGAAAGAAAAGGGCGGCGGCGGCGGCGCAGTCTCGCCAGACAGCGGTAGCAGTGATGCCGGCGCGAAATTGTTCAAGGCAAAGTGCGCAACGTGTCACACCGCCAACGACGGAGGACCAAACAAGCAGGTGCGTCCGAAACCAGAACCGGTGTGGAGCCGGCGGCCTGCCTGCGGCGGTTGACCTTGCCCCCGTGCGCAGGGACCCAACCTATGGGGCGTGATGGGCAGGCAGTCTGGGCAGGTGGCTGGGTTCAAATACACGGTCCGTCTCCCGCGCCACATGCCGCCCCAGACACACCCGCCAGGTCTCCGCAGCAGCCACAGGACACGCACCGACGCGATCTCTCCAGGCGGCAAACGTCAACTCCGGCATCATCTGGTCCAACCAGGCGCCGAGTGGCAGACGAGGGCGCCCCATGGAGCTCGCCCCTCACCCGGCCCCGACCCGTCCTCGCGCCACCAGACCATGTTTGACTACCTCGCCAATCCGAAGAAGTACATCAAGGGAACTAACATGGCGTTTCCGGGCTTCAAAAAGGAGAAGGACAGAGCGGACTGCGTCGCCTACCTGAACACCTGCAAGTGAGTGGGGTGCATGGTGGCCAGCTACTTCGGCTTAGGAAAGTCCTCAACTTACGTCGCCACAGCTCCGGTCGATCTCGCTTCACTTGAGCACTGAGAAATGTGAACGGATGGCCCAGCCTGGCCAGCGGACGCGGTAGTTGGACGATAGCGAGAATACGACTTGGATGAAGCCAACGAGGATCTTGAGAGAGATTTGTTTGTTAGGATCTTCGCCTGAATGAATGAAGGAAGGGGGAAAGGTGTGTGTGTGTGTGTGTGTGTGTGTGTGTGTGTGTGTGTGTGTGTGTGTGTGTGTGTGTGTGTGTGTGTGTGTGTGTGTGTGTGTGTGTGTGTGTGTGTCTGTGTGCCAGAGAGTGTCCTGACGCCAGTGCGCAGTGTGGTCTGGCGAGGAATGCACCTGGACGCGTGTCGAGGTGTGGGCACCCGACCCTAACCCCCAAAACACCACTCACCCCCCAGTCCGCCGTGGAGCGATGGCGAGCCTCTCCCTCCTCTCCCTCTCCCTCCCCTCCCTGACGCGATGGCTCACTTTCGCGCCGCGGGCCGCGCCACGGCGCGCGTTGCCGCGAGCGCAGATCGTGTGGGGCAACGGGCCGGACACGGACGCTGCGGGCGCTGGGACGTCGCTCATGGAGCTGAGTGCGAGCTATGGGTGGTGCTATTCGGACGCCGACCTGGCGGAGATGGAGGGCTTTCAGGCGCGCCATAAAAAAACTT